AGCTCACAGGACACCTGTGGCCCACAGTCAGGCTGTGCTTCACAGTGACTGGGGCAGAGCAGCTGGTGGCTCCCCACACCCAGGAGGAACAGGTGATGGACAGCTGGGTGTGCACAGCCTGGGACCCATCATGGCGCCTGGCACCCCTGTGTCAGGGTGCTGTCCTCTGCCTCACTAGAGCTGGGTTTCAGTGTAAGTATGAAAATACAGTTGGAATGGCCAGCTGCTGTCTGATGGAGAGATGCTGACATTCTTAGAGATGTTGATGATGAAACACCCTCACATGAGAAAGACAACAAAATACAACATATCAATTCATATTCAGGTTTTTCAAATCATATTCAACTGTAAATCCCTAAATGTTATTTTCTTAACTCTGTACAAATGTTGTAATGAGAAAGTGGGCTTAAGCAATCAGACACAGAGTCTGTACAAGGGAGGGGCTTTATATTAAGGGGAAGTGACCACAGCACCCGCCAGGCCTCAGGAGGGAGCTGAGCAAGGCCCCCAATGGAAGACCTGGGGTTTCACAGAGGCAAAGGAGACAGTCTAGACCACAGGGGAAAACAGACATTGGGACAATTCTGTCTATATTTAGATGCAATATCTAATATGGTTCACTAAATTATTATTCTAGTATTTCTCAGGCCACAGAGACATACAACAAAGGAACATCATTGTTTTTATATTTAAAGAAAGAAAAATACATAATAATTCAGAGATGATACCAGGTAGGAATAAAGGCAGGAAGCAACATCTCTGTTATAAAATCTGTTACTGTATCCATGAATATATCAAAATGAACCACACATTTTGCATAATTATACTCACAATAAAATATTGAAATAAAGAAGATGTTGGAAGTTTTATTGACAGAAATATAAAGAGCACAAGAGGTTATAAAACACAACACTCTAACTTGGAAACTTACAAATGTATAATACAAAGCCAATACTACAGCTCTAAAAACGTATACTGAAAATATACAAATGTTTTCATTTTCTGGAATGAATCTGGATTAACTTAGAATTCCTTGGGATATAAAAATGGCCACTGCTCATCCTCACCCAGACTGAAGATGCACTCTCAGGACAGGGTGGGCACTGACCTGAGCAGGGATAGAGCCCAGGGCATCCCTGTCTGTGACCCTGCAGTCCAGCCACAGTGGCTGGAAACACAGGCAGGCACCAAGCTGCCTCCCCCCAGTATCCAGGTGTCCTGGGGCTTCTCAGGCTCAGGGTCACCTCTTAGCAGGATGGGGTCAGAGTGGACCTGGGCACAACATGCCTTCAGGGTCCAGAGGCCAGTGGCAGAGCTGACCTGCAGTTTCAATAGTCCATGCTGAGCTGACCACCCTTGCTCCKGGGTCTTTGCCAAGGGAGCCCCTTTTTCTTCAGCACCTTGCTCAGATCACCCCTGTCCACAGGCCTCACACAGCTGCATGAGGGGTGGGTACCTTTGCCTTTGGGGTCTGGGTGTGTGTGAGGGTTTCACTGAGCCTCATCCTGAGAGAGACAGCTCACATCCACCAAAGTTCACTGTGAACATACACATTTCTGTGGGTTTAACAAGGTTTAAGGCTTTCTGACAGTGTTCCTCAGTGCAGTCCATGGGCACTTGGGACAGAGAATTCCTTGCTGCCATGCTGTGCTCTGATGGCTGGAGGTGTGGCAGCCTCAATGACCTCTAACAACTGTTTTTCTTGAACAATCCTGTTCCTAACATTGCCAAGGTCCCAAGGTGAAAGTTTCTCCCACTATTTGGGTTTCAGGATGGCATGTATGTGATGACCTGATCTATCACAAGAAGACAGTGAGTGGACTGGGAATGGGAAGGAGTCATGGAAAGGGGACAGGGGACCCACCTAAGCATGAGAGGATAAAACATGAGAGCAGAGGTTCAGAAAATTGACCTGGACATGGTGGAGCTCCCCTGTAACCAAGGTGCTCAGGAGGCCAAGGCAGGAGGACAACTATTTCAAGGGCAGTCTGGACATCTTAGGGGAACATGACTCAAACTAAGACACAAACAGGGATGGAATGGAGCTCAGGGTTAGTGCATCTTGTGTTCAATCCCTAGTACTAGAAAGATAAGTTTATAAAGTTCACATAAAAGTCAGTATGTGGGAAATGCCATTGTAAAATAATTAGCTTCAGAAGGAAATATGGTTGAGAAGTCTGTGCTCAGAGGGAGAAATTCAGACAACCCTGACCCAGAGAAGGAAAAGCTTCAGAGGGTCTGGCAGAGGAGAGACCTCGAGAATCTCCATGCAAGGTGGAGTCACGCAGGTGCTAGCTCCRCAGGAACTTGAGAGCCTCAGGTGACAGCTTTCTCCTCTCTCTGCACCTGCTCCTGAGCTTCTGTGCCTTGAGCACCCCCTGCTGGCCCTAGGCACGCTGCAGGAGGTTTCTGTCTGGGCTCTCACTGAGGTCCCCTCAGTGTGGGTCTGGCACAGTAATAGGTGGCTGTGTCCTCAATTGTCAGGGAGCTCAGCTGCAGGGAGAACTGGTTCTTGGATGTGTCTCTGGAGATGGACACTCGGCTCTTGAGGGACGGGCTGTAGATAGTATCACCATCACTCCATATGTGCCCTATCCACTCAAGCCCCTTCCCTGGGGGCAGACGAATCCAATTCCAGCCATAACTACCAGTCGTGATGGAGAATCCAGAGACAGCACAGGTGAGGGACAGGGTCTGTGAGGGCTTCACCAGGCCAGGTCCTGACTCCTGCAGCTGCACCTGGCACAGAACCCCTGGGGACAAAGAGAGTAACACCCTGTCAGTCACTGGCAGTCACAAACTCCCCATGGACCCAGGTCTGACACTGGGGACACTCACCTTGGAGAGCTGTGACCAGGCACAGGACAAGACCCAGCAGCCTCATCTTCTAGACCACACCTGCCTTCCCAGAGACCTCAGCCCTGTCTGAGCAGAGAGCTGGGAGCTCCCACAGCCCAGAGGGC